CTAGAAGGCCCAGCTAGAGGAAATGGGTGGAAGCTGAGAAGACCAAAGTCCCAGCAAAAAAATTCCTGGGTTTCTTCATAGCCCTGGCTGGTCAGTCAGGTGACCTCGGCAGCCAAAATTCCAGACGGAGGGGAGAACTGCTCCCGTTGCCTCAGTTTCCTGCCACTGAAGGTCATGTGACTAGTTCCCTTACCTGAAAGATGACATCATTTGGAAGCACCGGGCAGCAGCCAATGGGGCTGCTTCCGGTGGGAACTTAGTGATGAGGTCATGACAGGGGTATAAATGGTCCCCATGAAGAAGGGGAAAGAGAGACATTTGGGGGCCAGCCAGGTGGAGTTACATGCAGTACCTAGAACATCTGCAACTCTTTCTCCCTCTCAGGATGCTGAGGCTGCTGAAGTGAGTAAACCACTTGTAACTTATCTAGAAATCTAGCTAACTGTACTATAGAAGTGTTTCAAACAGCTACTATGCTGGCACTGTTTGCTCTGGGTTATTCTTTGATACTTCTCTATCCTGTACACCTCCCCAAACCTACCCTTTTTAAGCAATAAAGCTCTCCACTGTACCAAGCGTGACGGACCCATTGGGAGAGGGGATTGAGTCATGCCTTTAAGCTCCCTATGCTCAGCTGACCAAGGGAGGCTACTTTTTGGGCTTCACACTAAAGGAAGAACCCAAAATTCTTGCAGTAGGTCAATCACCCTTAAGGGCTACAAGGCCTTTGTACCACAGGGGGTACAGGGCCCAGAACAGTCCAGACTCCTGGGTAGAGGCAATGGTTACCCCAGACTTGTGGGTGTGGTCCAGGAAGGGGGCCAGCCGGACAAGAGGTGCCCCATGGCAGGAACTTGGAGCTTAGTAGGTGGCCAGGTGCAGGGAGGTGGGTGACTCAGTGCAGGAGCACCCCATACTGGTCCACCACAATGGCAACCCCAGGCACCTTGCCTGTTGCACTGGTGCATTGGCCGGGAAGCAGGCCCTGCAGAGAGTGACTGTGGCGGGCCAGTAGGGGGCGCTCCTGCGTTGAGCCGCCCACCTCCCTGCGCCGACCACCTTCCAGGCTCCGAGTGCCTCCCTTGGGGTGCCTCCCGTC